AGTCATCCGTATTACGTTGGTACTGGGTTTCGAAACCAGGACGTTCTAGTCACAGGCAAGGTCCTAGACCATTCAACTACTGAGAGAGAAATCAATGGCCAGTTCAAAATGTCCAACTTCTACCTATTCGTAATCTTAGCTTAATTACTAACCGATGCCATAGGCGGTTATCTAATTGAAACACATCTAATTCCTACAAAGCGACTGATGGGAATTAATCCAATGCATGCAAGTGACTGGTAACAGTTGCCTGGAGTTCTAGCGAGAAGTGATGACCTATAGAGTTCATCAGGTCGAGTGTAAGAACAGATACTCAGTAATGGCATCTGCCAAGGGTCTCAGGAACAGTTTGAAGTAAGAATGCATGGGCAATTTTATCGAGCTTCCCTTATAAACCGAAGGTCTTCGGTTTGAACACCGGCGGGTGCATACTAAGTAGTTCGCCCTGATTTTCAGTAGTTTATGAACTGATGTCAACTTGACTCAAATTAAATGACTACAGAGTAACGGTTGAGCATAAGTTTATTAACAGTGATCGGTCAATATCAGCAAGTCATCAGGGAGTGATAATTCACCAAAAAAATTAACACGAACAATTAAAGGTTAGAAAAGATTACAACGAATGGATTGCATAATGCGTAATTTTGGAAAAACTAAAGATTAATTGATGGATAAGTGTGTCAAGTTAGTTCCATGGTAAGCAATTGAAGCTGGAGTCAGAAAGAAGAAATAACTTTGATCAAGATAACTTGTAAATAGCTTATAGAGAGACAGAGGGAGGGAGGGAAGAAATTATTACCATTTTACCTTCATGTCACGCTAACTAAGACAAAGAAAATGGCTGCACGAATTTCTTTTGAAAGCATATCTGGCTTCTTCAAGTGAATTTCACTGGGTAAATGCTAATAATTTCCAGCTGTATCATAAGTACTGTTTCGGAATGAAGATGAGAACCGTTCCAACTGCTATGATCGAATAACTGAATAGCATATGAATAAAATCTGAAAATGCCCAGGGAATTATTGTAATGCGCACAGTTTTCGTTACACCCTGGTTTGTGCCAGTCGACTTGAGTTTAACTATCATGAATCAATAAAAGTATGTCGGGTATGTCACTTTTTTTTCCTTCATGTCACCCAGTGGAATATAGGGCTGCAAGCCAGAGGCTTCGATTTTCTGTAGCAGTGTTTATTTACAGAGGATGGAGTTGCTAGCCTCATGCCTAACCTTTCCTATTTACCAGCATTACTTCTGGCTTAGAGAGGTAAAGGAGTGCATCGGCCGGGATTGAACTCCGGACAGTGTGCATGGTTGGCAAGCGTCCTAACCGCTATCACAAAATGACGCACTGAGTATGTCACTGATACAAGATAATTTACGACCTTACCCTCCAAGAGTTGGTTTGTAAGGAATAGATTTGTTCTTTGAGTTTCACCACGGATTGGTATTAGTTAGATAACCACTAAAAACCACCAGGGAATACTGAACAGCTGTTACGCCAGCATAAATTGAGACTACTCATTGGCAGCATGCACGCACAGCCAGGGTTTGAAACCAGGACCTGCCGGTCACCATTCATTCACTGGGAACCAATTCAATGGCCAGCCCATGAATTTTAACTTCTATCAATTCGTAATTTAGCATGACTGCCAGCAGCCAATGTCAAGAGTTGGAACTCCATTCATCTGACTCACTTCTCACTAGAACTCCAGGCAAATTCTTTCTACTGCCAGTCACTAGCCAGCATCAGATTATTTGTCAAGAGTTTTCAAAGCAACAAGATTGACTCCAAGTTGGATCACGGAATGGTATCATTTACAGTGTTACTTTTAAACAAGGAATACTGGAAAACTGTCGATTCCAGTCTTGTGATTTTTCATCAAATCAAATTCATGAAAATTCATGGAGTAGGATGGAGGAATACCGGGTGAATAATCAGCGGGAGCGTATTGTTGAACAGCAACAAACTAGAGTGAAACAACTGTCCAGTGCTCCAATGTTTTCAACGTTTCTACAAATGATATCAATTCATGATCTGAATTTTGTGTGCGTCGGTGGCACAGTGGTTAGGACTCTCGCTGACCATGCACATGGTCCGGGGTTCGAGCCCTCGCCGACGCACACTTGATATCTATGGTCGGCCTGCGAAATTTGGGCTACCGATATCCACGCTGAAAACTCCATACTTCTATCAAAAGTACGGTGTGGGGGTCAAGCTGTAATCAAAAATTTAAAAAAAATAAAAAAATAAAATAACTAAAATGCTTTAAAATACAAGTTTTCCCAGTTGAGATTCAGTGACCCATGAATTCTGAATGTGTCCACTTGGGATACAACCCTGCGGTCACCAGTAGCTTCGATTCGCGTCCACTCCACATTGATCACAGTACTTACGACACTGCGTTGCAGTCCTCAGGAAATCCACTCAAGTAGCTATCAATCAGCTGTTGGCTGATAGTCACATTATAGGATTTGGAGTAATTTCGTATTCATTTTAAATGTCAGGTTTTCGTCACCAACCGAGCATTTTAGAATTGTAGTCCCTATTGATATATATGCTGTTACTAAAATGAGAAGAACGCCTCAGGTAATCGAATGACAGGAATGCCTTCGTAAAAATATGCGGCCCGTGAAAACCTGTATCGTACCTGTATTTTTGAAGCCCTATGTTCCTCTATAAACCTCAGAAACTGCTTATAATACTACACAATAACATTTTTTGCAAGTGAAATGCAACAGTTCGGCGATAAGAGAAGCACCAACGATAAGAAGGACTTCAGGTGAAGATAGACAAACAGATGTGGTGATGAAGATTCCTGGCCAACAGCAACAACAACTGACAACAATCTTCATATACGGAAGGAATCCAAAAGAAGCAACCTCCTTCACCCACCTACCTACCTGAAAGGCATTGTTCCAACTACAACCGGATGAAACTGATGAAGATATCAGAGCAGCAACGATCGGGAAATCAAGGCAAACTTTCATTCCTCTCACATATGCCACATATGTGAAAATATTGATTCGAAGGGAATAAACATTGGCCTACCGACAGATTGTTGGAAGAAGCTCCTGTTTATGAAGCCCAACGAAGAAATCAAAATCACGTAAAGTAATCGCTTTTATGTGGTGCATACGCCTAGTATGTCCATCAACGAAAGCATTTATAATAGACTTCAGACTTCTTGAAAAGATAGGCGACATCATTTTGGGCTCAAGACACGTTTGTATCTGAATGGAAGTATATTTCCATCTGATCAAGTTTACTTCTCCTATCTGACATGAGACTTGTAGGATGCCAAATCAGAATAACTGATAGATTGTTGAGAAGACGAAATGTATTCAACCATAAGAGATGTAAGGCGATGGTTTATGCTTAGCTAGCTGCAATGCATTCACCTACAAGCAATCGTAACACTCCAGCGTGCCGATTGGCTTGGATGCATGTCTGCATAACTTCAGGTCAAGCAAACAACTTAAACAGAAATGCTCAGCAGATATTTTTGAATGATTGAAGCGTGTGGATTGACAATTCTGTGGGATTATTTACTGTTACACTTTCATTAATATTTGCGTTCACTCGACATTAAGGATCAGAGAGACCAGCCAAACAGCAGAGCTAGAGTGGACACTGACAGTGATCTACGCGAAATCCATCGTTAATTCCTTTTCCTATCTCTTCTCTGTAGTTCTTTCTCTTACGTTGAAATTTATCCTACATAAAACTAGCAGGTAATATTAGGTGTGTTTGTTAATTCCTAGTGATGAATTCATTGGGTATCTAAATTCCGTTCACTTATTGAATTTATCCTCAATTTTATGTCCAGTAATTACTTTCTTTTGGTTGAACATTATCTGCCATTCATGCCTCATTTATGTATCCGTCACTGTTGAACATCGATTATTAGTATCCCTTTCATGTGTGTCTGGCATTTACACGCTGTTTAAGTGTACGCATAAGTCGCCTTTGACACAGCTTTGCTGTTTTATCTCAGTGACGCACATTGTCAGTGCTTTTGACCGCATTCAGCCACATACAAGTCACAATTGAGGTGTGTATATCATATTTTATATTTTATGTTGAATATCGTATACTGTATTTCAGACAAATCCTGTAATTCGGGATTTCACGCGTCAGTCAACTTGTGGTTTTATCATTCGGTGGGCAATCGTCCCGAATCTTTTGCGGCGAATGCACACCTATTTTCCAGAAGAAGTGGAAATGGATTGGAGCTACACCTGAACAGATATTCAGGTGACATCTTACAACAAGTCATTGACTGGAATTTGAATTTTTTTTGGTCACAGCTTGATTCCACACTGTATTTTTGGTACAAGTATGGAATTTTCAGCATGGATATCGGTAGCCCAAATTTCACAGGCCGACCATAGATATCAGGTGTGCGTCGGCAGGGGATCGAACCCCGGACCATGTGCATGGTCGGCGAGAGTTCTAACCACTGTGCCACCGACGCACCATGCTGTGCAATGAACGAGTTTGGCGTCAAAGTTTGACATGAGGGATACCATGTGAAGTGGAAATGAAATCTTGAAAGGCTCTTGAAGCTCATGTCTCTAATCAGAAATGGATGAGCGAGGTTGTGTGTTACCGATGTCTTTCAATGTTACAGATTAACTCACGAGATGATATCACTTAGAGAAGCATTGGAAAGCATCAAGGGGTACTGAACAGCCATGCGCTCCTAGTTTGGGACTCTTCACACGTAGGCACCCCCAGAATTTTGATTCTCAGACATTCCGTCCGCATGGTGAGCACATTATCCATTCAGTCACTGGGTTTGAACACCGGTGGTTGCGCGGTACTACAGAGTGCCACACGATGAGGAAGCATTTGCCTATTATCGCCTGCTGCATTCCAAAAACTCTCTAACACATACCAGTTAGTGAGTGGACCTGTAACAAATCAAATCTTAGTAAACTAACTCTTAAAGTCACCCTTCACCACAGAATATCTGTTTAGAAAATCATTCACAGTTTATGAAAAGACACAAACATTTATTTATTTATATTACACTTCAGTTACAAAAATGGAGATAGAAACAGGATGTGCTGTGGAAGAGAGAGCTACGAATTTAAATAATGTAAATTGCTGAACAGAACTTCAATGTATTGTAGATATGTTCCTCCAGTGTGCTGATCCATTGCTGATAGACGATGTTTATCTGAAAAATCACAAGGATCACACATCAGTTAGATGAATAAACACAGACAGGTTCGTCTATGAGTACGAGAATGAACACCAGCTAGCTAACCAACTGACTAATTAACCAACCAGTTGACGAACTAAATTGATAAATGACTAATTTGCACATGGTATCCGTGTAATCTGAACCCCAAGATATTTTCAAGTCGCAGAATGAAGAAAGACATGTCACTTACATTCACAACATTGCTTCCTAAGGACAGTGACCGTCTGACGGTGATAATGTGTACTTTATTGCAATGTGCAACAACTCACCGGAGTATAAATAGGGAGTTCCGGGTTTCATATTACCCTCTAAATACCACATTTGCATCAACTGACTCGCGTCAGCCAGCCAAAGGTTGTTCTTCGTCTGCGTGAGAAGTAATCTCACTCATCTGACTGTCTCCATGTGCACCTATCACAGTCCACTTACACTTATGCAGCAAATTATACAAGGCTCTCGAAGAGAATGCCTTCCACATGGAGAACGGGGTAGATCAGGGCACATTGGAGCTTGAATTTACATCGAGCAAGGGAAGTGTTTGTGAAGTGCATTATTCTCAAATACTTGGTACAGTTTTATCACTCTGCCAACCCTGGTCATGGCTTTAGAATCATCTACGGAATTCATGCCATAAGCCTCCGTTCATGAACTAAAGCCAAACGTTGTGGGAGTTGATTAGGCAAACATGGTGATCGAGTGGGACAGACAGCAGTGACACATGACTGCCACTCGATGCAAGCACACACAAATGTGTCATTCATCAAAAGCACTCAACATCAACTTGAAGTTTAGACCACATTTCATTCAAAGCGTTGTCGAGTAACTGATAAATAAAATGCTCCATTATCTTTCAAACATATCCAAGGCATTCACTGCAAATTTCATGCAGAGTATTCCACTCTGTTATCAGGTAAGTGATACGCAGGGAACGTCATTAAATGTTCACTAATCAATCGCGAGATGAATAAATAAATGAATGAACTAATAAATAAATTTCACCACAAAGACAAATTACATAGAAGGAACGTACTCTTTTGGATCATTAAACTCCGCGATCACTGTTTCTGTTAACATTTCCACCCTCTCTTTTGGACAAAGGACTAAAGGGGATAAAACTGTTATGATTACAGATTGACTTACATTGTAGGTAATGAAATCGTTGATGCTCCACCTCGACTATTTTGTCGACAACTGCATCTAGAGTACAAGAAATGAAAACAATTTTCTATCAATAATTTAGTGAATAATTAATAAATAATTAACTGAGACACAAAATTCACAGAAAGCTTAACATTGATAGTGCAGTGAAACATGTTGTTTCACATGATGGCTAGCTAAAATCGCCACCACCAGTTCAGCCTAAACCTAAGTGCTCAGAGAAGTGAACAACGCAAGATGATAAGTGACGTTCTCTCACTATTATAATTCAGGAAGCTCAACTAAAATTTCTGACGACATGAATCATGTATCATTGATTAGAATTGTACTTTCGATTCCTTAATAATCTCATTTCTGAAAACAAAACATGTAGATCAGCGAAGAGTCTCTTTTCGGCGGCGAATTCATTTTCCTAGCTGTACAATCGGCAATATATAGATATATATATGTTGTTTTGTATGCATGTGCACATTAAGTGTGTCAAACAAAATTACAGTTGCATGGAGGATTTAATCATGAGCTGACATCAGTTAGAGAACCATTGGAAAACCTGGGAGTACTGGACAGCTGTTTCGTTCTAGTTTGGGATTCTTCATCAGTACGCACCCACCGGAATTCGAACCCAGGACCTTCTGGTTACAAGGTGAGCTCGTAGACAACTTAGCCACTGGGACCCGATCCAGTGATCCTTGAATTCTAACTTCTGCCAGTTCACGATATAGCGCGACCACTTCGCAATGTCTTCTTCGATGAGTTACTGCCTCATCGTCAACCTGCTGTATCCTACTGGTCACGGTTTCCCACTAGAACCCCAGGTTAACTGCCTGAATAAGGCCAGTCACTAGTGAGCATCAGATTAATTTACAAGTATTAGTTTTGCTGAAGAGTCCCAAACTAGGACGAAACAGCTGTCCCGTACTCCCAGGTTTTCCAATAGTCCTATAACCAATGTCAGCTCATGATTAAATCCTCCATGCAATCAAACAAAATCCCTACAAAACCAATACTTGAAAATTACATTTGGTTAAGGTTATTTTAACTAAACAGGTGAAGGTTGGTAATACAAGTCAAGAAAATTAAGTGTTAATGAAACTAGGGTAGTAACCAAGGTGATGAGTTGTCACAAACAGTTGTTAAATGAAGTTATGTAATAATAATATGAATAATTTGATGAGTGAGTTTCACTCAGGATGCACGAAATTATGTAAGAGATCTAAGTGAATACAAGAATTATAAGCAATTAAAGAACAGGCGAAGAAACAAATTTAAGTCATCAAAATAAAAATAAAAACTCACAACAAATCAAAACATTGTTACCATGAAAGTAGAAGTGGTTGAGTAATCTCCTTTTGTATGCACAGCTCCGGTTTTTCTATGTGAACGGCCAGAGCTTCAGCGATACAAAGGAGATGAAACCGTATTGCCTTTGATAGGTCATTCTTGACTCTGTAGATTACTTTGAAGCAGGAGGCGTTTGTTTAGATGGAATGATCAGTGTAAACCAAGTATTCAATTATCGCACTCCTTATTACACCAATGTTGTCTTTTCGCAACCATGGTGGATAGTGTTCTTGAATCCTCTTGGACAGGGTGCGCGTCGAACGACCGATGTACTTGGCTCCACAGCAGCAGGTGTACTGATATTTGCACGTAGAAGTGGCCATATGCGGAATCTTGTCCTTGAGGCTTCTGCAGATCAGTGGGCGACTATAGAACACTATTCTTGGCATTGCTGCAAAGAATGTTCTTCTCAGAGATGATGTGATCCTTCTCTTGAGAATATTGCTTGCTAAATCTCCCTTGAAATCCAAGTTCATGTAAAGTTTCTTTTTAGGCGCAATTGAAGTTTCGTTTCTCCGAATCATTGGTTCATCCTGAGTAAAACTCACTGATCAAATTATTCATATTATTATTACACAACTTCATTTAACAACTGTTTGTGACAACTCATCACCTTGGTTACTACCCTAGTTTCATTAACACTTAATTTTCTTGACTTGTATTAACAACCTTCACCTGTTTAGTTAAAATAACCTTAACCAATTGTAATTTTGTTTGACAAACTTAATGTACACATACATACAAAACAACACATATGTAAATTTGCGATTGTACAGTTAAGAAAATGAATTCGCCGTCGAAAAGAGACTCTTCGCTGATCTACGTGTTTTGTTCTCATTGAATGCCTGGATGGGGATTATCCACGAATCTTATTTCTTGCAAATGAGTGACAAAAATTGACCTTCGAGTTTCAGTGTTTCACCCTAGGCCTTAAAGAGAATAATTTTCGGTAATCTGGAGGCAAGTCAGTTCCTCCGTTTAGTCTAGAATACACTCAAAAACATGTAAATTACACACAAATAATCAACGTTGCCCTCAAATTTACATCAAACCACTACAAAACTGCCAAAATTTCACCCGTACACCCTGAGATCTATCGAAAATTCACCACCTAAGGCTGACAAAGCACAGTCAAATACTACAAAACATTTCCACGTGGATCATCGTATGCCCTCATCGCAGGAAATAGATAAATTCGTCACAACTTTACTGCTTGATGTGGACACAACGTAGATGGATGGATTTATTTTGAAAGTAACAGAAATACGCAAATTCTTAAATATCAAACAATAAAATCGAGCAATAAGTAAAAAAAAAACAATTCCAAAATAATTTACTTATATCAGAGTTGAAATTCAATGCAGTTGATGAGAACTTTTCGCGTAATGACTCAGATTCTGAAAGATTCAAAGAGAAAAAAGTGTCATTCAGTTTGGCAGTGTAGATAATGATACGTATAAAACGAGTCAGGTACTTCATAGAAATCCGTCAGGTAGTAGGACACAGTTATAATGAACACCTGCACTTGAGCCAGGAACACTCACAAATCAACTGCAGCGATTGCACGTAAACTAAAGCACATCATGATACATCCAATGAAATCAAAAGAATTATTCCCTATTCTGGGAAATTTAGTGTACCAGTGGCCAATGCTCCTCCAACTGATGCTAAAACGTGATGAAACTTGAAGCTAATGAAGTCTCTATGAAGTAACTCATGAAAATTAATCTGACGCTCACCAGTGACTGGCTGTATACAGGACGAAGTGACGTGTAGTACCAGTAAGAGGTTGTGATCACTGGGATCTGTGACGTCGGGATCAATTCACGTCGATGACAGTGGATGGTGGTCACGCTATAATCACGAATTGGTAGGCTTATCACTGCATCAGATTCTGGTGACTGAATGATCTACCAGCACACGTTGTAACCAGTAGTTCTTGGATTCGAATCTCGTTTGTGTGAGTGCCTGTGTAATCACTTCCCATTAAAACCGTTTCATGAGGCTGAATGAAGAATAAAATTTAAGACAAAACATCTGTTGTCCAGTACTCCATGGTATTCAAGGCTAGTCTGATTTATAGTGCAACACGAGAATATGAAGTAATTGTGAACTGACTATCCTACCAAGGAAAAACGCCTGATATCTGTACAGTGTTAGCAACACTAAATCTCCGCCAGCCCACGAGAGAATAACTGCTTCTGACTGGTTGGCTAGACAAGTCTGGCAGTGAGGTTATTTCATATCCTCGGTGTGATTCAAATCCATATTTGAGGGATTAAACGATTCTACCTCCACAGCAGACATTCACTCGAAATGCTGATTCCAGTGGTGGCCACTTCCTATCAGTCTGCGTCACGTCACCGCTTCACGTCATTTCAATGATCAGACTCGAATCATATCAAAATCCTGCAAACCAACTCATGGAGATTGCATATTGTACGTATCAAGTGGTAAGACGATTCCGAGATTGATAAATGAACTATCGCAAACGACAGTTGAAGGAAATGCAATTGACTGATGTGTGATTCGTAATGTCTCGCAGTCTAAAATATGTCCTTTATGATACCGGTGATGTCGTCGAGTATTAGCGATTCATTGGGTTTATCACTGAGGGCTGTTCATTGCAGTCCAATAGTTACTAACTACGATAATCCTTCTAAATATTGTTTTCATACACACTCATTACACTCTACTTACTTTCTTTATCCTGATTTAATACGTATCTTTTGAATGCTTCAGCTGCTTCATAAAGTCCTTTATTGGCAGCCTCTGAAAAATTAAACAGTGAATTGTGATCATTGACTCTTAGAGGTCAATAGAAGTTAACGAAGATTAAATTATATTTTAAACAGAAAAGAAACTGTCTGTTGATTATTCGTCTCTACCGTTTTCACTATCTTCCAGATCTCCAAGAATCAGTCTCCACACACTCAACTTCCAATGAAGTTCATCGGATTGTGGTTAGATGATTGGAGGTGATCGGGAGGAAACTGCAGAAATATGTTTCATCATTTCCTAATTCACCTGATTGTGTGTGGTCGATCAAGTAGCGGGCGGGCTAGCAATGCAAGTAGTCATCGAATAACACCTCCGGTTGACAAGTATTCTTCGTGATCGTTGCTTCTGTTGCTGGATCGGATGTCCTTGTCATTCCAACCATCACCTAATATTGATCCAGTGTGCATCATGATGGTGAGTCGCTCAGCAAATGGCGTGAAAACATTGCAAATATTCACTGAAGATAAAATGCAGTCCACAACAACCTGAGGAGTAGACACATCATACCGGCTACTACTATCTAGTGACCAATCGAATTATCGTTTTGTCTTCTTCATGCTTTTCTCACTAGTTACACTGACTGAAGCGAAAGCATGATTCGTCATTTCAGACTACATTACCACATCCTGACTGTCTCGTTCTCTGCTTCGTTCATTGAAAGTAGTACTCTTAACCATATGTTAGGAAATCATCAATTGTTCTGTTATAGGTATGCAGCCAGCCTGATAAGTCGCTTATTTCGAGGTCACCTGAGATTGAGTTAACCATGATACTGTTCATCGTGGACTAGTCACCCGGTCTGTCAAATTTTTGACTGGTTCAAACCAGAAGTACATTGGTCTTTGTGTACATTCAACCACACTAACCAGGAATAATGTCTACATGAACTACAAGATTTGTTTAGTTGCGTGAGTTCAGCACCATGTTTTAACGGTATATTTAACAGAAAGCGTTATATAGCGCATCAGAAGGTATATACATACATGAGAAGACTAGGGCAAATACAAACATACTTTTGAGTTCACGAACTTCAATTATTCTTTCAACAGATTCAAATCCTCTGGAGTATATTCTTAAGGGAAGATAAAATTTCAACGTTATTGAATGTAAAAGACTCAGAGTGCAATTATTTTGTAATACCAATTACTATCAAGGGACGAAAGTTGAAAGGAAGTCAATTATTCCACTCAACTCCTTGCAGCATCATTTCAACTACAGATAGTCAGCACGAATAACGATGTCTAAATCAGCTAATAAATCTCCTGCACTTAATACAAAGGACAAGATTTTCAATTTCACCGCTGATGTCAGGATAGTTCCTAAGTCTGTGTGAGTCAGAAACTTGACTAGCGCTTCACGAAATGCAAGTCTAAGAGGCCACTGAAGGCTGTTGTCGAAAGCTTCCTTTGTCGTATCAATGTTCAAAGTAAAGTGGCGAGTTGATCAGGAACAATTAGCAACAAGAAACTCTGAGAGAGAAAGAAGCAGGATGGATTGGGCACAGGCTGGGAAAACCATCGACTTACGCCGCGCTTTACTCCACCTCTCTCTTTCTCTCTTGAGTCAAACGTGAATGGGAAACGTAAAGTTGAGTGTGGGTCCGAGTATGACATTGAGGATGTAGTGTCAGAGGGGGATAACAGAACATAAGCAGTCACCAGCCAGCCAGCCAGCTAAACAGGTTTGCAGAGCACAGGACAAGCTGAAGAAGTGTTGTTGAAGCCCTATCTTCCACTGAGAATCCATCAGAACAGTCATAATAATAACAAAAATAATAATGGAGAATCGGTATGCATTTCGTTTCCAAAATATATTGGATATTCACATCATCTCAGATTCATGTCGTGTCATACACTCATGTTCTGCGCTTTTTCAAGTCACAGTGTATCCAGACTATTATGCAAATAATGTGGCATACCACTTCCTAAATGATGTGTGACACAATCGTCAGCATGTATGCAAACCTTCATTGAGTGGCGTCACTTCCACCTACCTCGACTTAATTGAAGAACAAAATTTCCTACATTTCATGAGAGGAAATGACATATTATGTAGGTTCATGCGCATTCTGTCAATCAATGAATTGTATGGCAGGATAAACTTTTGACGTACTCAGCATCGTATGAATACTTAGATTCATAGAAACGTATGAGTTCAAGACATCAGCTTGCCATTTCCATTACTGTTATTATTCAGGCCGTTGATGTCTTGCATGATATTTCTGGCATTCTGTGAACAGACAAAGGCGGCGAGAATTAATGTGGAATGTCAAGACTAAAACGCAGTGGCTGTGGGACAGACAAATGCGGTGGCTACATGAAATGAGCTGGAAGTCTCTACTCCAGCGAAATGAAAGCACACCGTGAATAGCTCTTCATTATGTCTCAACTCATAGTATCGTTTCTTCCATCTAGTTTAGTCCCATACTGAATTCGAATTGTTATTTCGCATGGAAAATGTTAAAAACAGTGAAAATTGATCCACGAACACTTACCTTCCTTCTTTGAACACGTGACCGATGATTTAGATGATTTTAGGTAGGCATCTACAAGAAATTTATAAGAATACATGAGATTCACTTGACGTGCTGAGGACTGCTCAATTTTAGTAGAGTTGAATTGTGCTCCCACATTCAGGAGTGAATCATCACCATCAGACATTGATTAGGCTGATACATTCAATTGAAAGCCGGCAGTGTATGGTATCGTCTGCATTTCACTAACAGCCATTCACAATACATTTCAGACAGTAATCCAAGGCAAAGATGGCTTCTCAAAGCCTGTCATAAAAGCTAATGAATAAATCCACATGCGATATGCTTCTGAGACACCGAGCTGGAGACTAATGTGGAGGCCCAATAATTACTGACTGACTGACTGACTCACACAGTAGAGTTGACATTATTTAATTTCTGCATGCATATACCTTGTGAGCCTGAAATTAGCCGTATGCATGGCGATTACCATGATCCCGTTCACACTGAGTTTTATATTCAGCACCTGACTGTTCTATCAACTTTTCGGGAATGTGAAATTCAAACTCATACATACTTAGGAAAGAGGAATGTGTCAACTGCTATAACGCTCTCACCTTCAACAGCATCCAATTTTGCTCTAGCTTTCCATTTCTCTTGAATTTCCTCAGAAAGAATTCCACTTCCTACAAGAGAAATTAAGGGTGAATGTGTATGCGTCAACAGGTGTCAGTTTACTGTAAGTCAAACTGGAAACTACTAATCTGAGACACTTGTTGTAAGGATGCCTTTCTATTAGCGAAAGGTTTAAGTGTTGCAATGAAATGCAGTGTGAACATTTTATCCTATAAGAGACTGGTCATCTGGAAAAACCTGTCTTCCCTTCCACACACACACACACACACATATACACATACCCGCCAATATTCCAACTCAGTAGTCTTCGTTTTAAACGTGCAATGTTTACGTGTAGCAATGGAATCCAGCTTGTAAATTTCATCCTATTTGACACTTGATGTACCTGCCTTCCCAAGTGAATGATGGTGTTCAACCCGCCCACCTCACATTCACACAGAGAGATTCGCACTTATTACTTTTCGTTTTAAACGCCAAGGTGGTATCCATTAGATGACATAATTCCACTTCACTGGCTAGTCACCATCCGTCAAGTAACATAACGCTGACTCTTTAGATATTGACTAAGCGTCTCTCCTGAAGGAGTAGATGTGCCAACAGTTGCCGTATACTGCCGTTCAATCAGTCAATACTATAAACAAAACAATTTATGTGTGGCCTTAAATATCTATGCTCAACGATATCGTGTGGAAACATTTCATTTTTGGATAAACCACTTTTAGTAAGATCATGATAAACATAATGTGACTAACCATGTGGACTAGCTGTCCACATGACATTCATCAATGAAAACGCACATACATGAGCTTATTTGAAGAAACCTCAACGGCTCGCTCGATCTCAATGATCAACCAGCTTCCATTATACGCTAAACAAATCACATTTGTATGCATTAGCAGAGGTCCCTGAACCAGATAACTGTCTCAAAAATAGTGTCTGAAAACTTTCACTCGACACTAGACGGTAACTAATCTCATACGATTTATCTTCTGTTTTACCGCAAACCTAATTTTACCAGTCCAGTTCGCAGTTTGGCCATCTTGATAAGTGGCTGAACATCACGATATGGACTGCCACCAAATATATCACAGTTACTTGACAACATTTTCAACAATGCAACCTCCTATATTAAATGCTCTTTATCCGTTTCATGCATGGAAACAATGAGGGTGCTTGTATAATCAATACGAATAAGTACACAAATATGTAAGATAACTACCAGTGTATTCGCTATACTCGAATGAAGATACATTTCCCCCATCAGCGGTCAAACTATGCATAAACGCACCGGGTGCAAATCACATCCTTTTCCATGTTATCAGCATGGCACTCAAAGTTTGTGTGTGTGTGCGTCGACAGTGATAAGAAAGAATTACAGTGTCTGAAAATTCGGTAATTACCTTCAAGCAAAGGAATAGAATCAAGCAGACCTTTCTCCTTTTCGTACTCATCTACAAGCAATAAAATCGTGCAATGTGCGCGTAGAAAGACACATGCTGACATATTTAAGAAGTGCAGATTAACAATAATATTGGCTTCATAATAAAAAACTTGACAAAGTTTATTATGTAGCTGATGGTGAGTGTAGGCTAAGTGATATTCGTGCTATAACACTATTTGTGAACTATATTTCAAAGGTGATTCTCATCCAGGTGTTTACTGAATGGATCCAGTGGTTTACATGCGGGAGTAAAAGATGCGTGCGAAGTATGGGAATGAAAACACAAGGATTTCTTTAAGATGCGTCCTTGCATTTCAGAGTTCGTCTTTATTCGTGGAAGTGCGATTTCCTATGCTACGTCAAATGGGATGTCTCATACAATTAACCTGCAGACTATTAAGAAGAAGGAGACGGAAGCCTCTTATGTGTACACCACAAGTTGAATTATCTCAGCATGTACATACAGTAAATAACTCACCTGCATATTTTTTCTTAGTATTTTCGTCAATCACATCTCTTGCCTGGAAAACACGTGAAGCTGCGAACAAAGTTGGAAATTATCGTGAATCTCATGTACTTGAATGAGGAATCAATTCTATTGCCTGATTCTTATAATACGAAGATGTGATGAGTGATCGGCTTCCCATGAATATTTGTGTGTAAAGTGCATTTCCAATCAATATTCTACCAGTGGAGTTTCGACTGACACTGAAGTCACCGTCGCTAGTGCTGTTTAGTGAACGAACACAATGAAATCATCATTTCTCTGTATGCTTACTGTTGGAATTATGATTGTGCAGTGCCCACCAGAATGATTTCTGTGGACATTAGTGATACAGTGAGAGTGGTGACACTGTGAAATGCAGCATAACGTGACGTAAGAGTACCAGTAATCCACGTATCTAATAAACTCAGTGGATATGGCAAATCACCGCATCCAGTCGACTCTTACTGATGAAATCTCTCTGCATTTACTGAAGGTTGGTCAATAATTTCGGATATTTAGCCACCACAGAATCGTGTGGCATACGGTATCGTATCTGCGGATAACTCTCAACTTATTCACTAACTAACTTAACAACATACTAACTAATATTCTGACTGACTAGCTGATTCTAACCATGTGATACACTCGGTAAAGATTTTTACATTCACATCGCTACATCCCTTCTCAATCAAAGAACTAAATGGCAAAAAATAGTTTCACAAATTTTACTTACATATTAGTTCATTAATCCATTTCAGTTGATATAAATGGTCCAGTCTGTTGCTTTCTAAATTAATAAAACATTTGCGTAGAGCATATCAGATGATAGATGCAACTATTGGATTCAACTAAGACACTGGATGTCTCACATTCGAAGGATGTGAATTCCTTCTCTCTGTCACTATGTTCCATCTTACAACAAATATGAATTATCTAAGAAAGTTTGAATACGCATCGAGGAGGCGAGAAATATTCGAACAGACACACACACACACACGCACAACGTGGACGCAACAGACACCATGATCTACATCGAAGGTGTAAAGATAATGCCCGCAAGATGACAGGAAATAAGTGATCGCAATTAGGAGAGACGAATCGTGTGAGTGATAAGGAGAATCGTAGGATGTCTAGAATACTCCGTGTGATATGCGTATAATTTTGAATGATTCTCATCGACTTCACGTTATATCATAAACAACTAGGTAAAATTTCATCCCTCAAGTAAACTTCCACCAACACATCAATAATCTTACCTTCTAACAGCTGTTCTACCACATTCGTTTTGTTACTACGAGCACGCCTTTGGTACACCCCATCTACGAAAGGAAGACATTTGAAAAAAGATTACACAATTCAACGTGTGTTTGATTGCTGCATTCAAAAGCTTGCCGGTTTTATCACAGCAATGAACAACACTATTCACAACCTTTCATGGAAACAGGCAGTAATTGTGATATTGACTGGACGTATATTCGTCGGAAAACATGTACGAATACGAGTGAAACTTAGGCAGTACAAATTATGTATGTATACGTGTATATCCGATCATTGAAAATTTCACTTCATTCAGTTCTCAGATGCGTCGAATGTCTTCAATTCTGAGATAAATTTCTTCCATGTATTACGTGATGTTTCTATGCATCAGGTGCATATTGCTAAACACGCCTACTGAGATATCTACTCATAAAAGATCATTCCGCTCCTCACACTATGTGTGCCTTCGATAATAGTGTGGTGACAGCAGGCTGTTGGTCAATTGGTAGACATTAATTTACGTCGATGTCTATGTCTCTAATATTGGCTGCGAGAAAATCTGAACAGGACTGATTCAACAACCAATCACAGCAGACTTAAAATGGGCAAATGCGATTCGCAGATATATGGCTTGGCCTTTTGAGAAGCCAGTCACAAGCAGTACAGAATAACCTTGAGCAAGAAACAACCAATCAGAAGACTGTGTTTGTCTACTTGAATAAGCTATCATAATGTACATGAAATACATATAAATACGTGCTGATTTCCTTAATAAATGATCTGTTGCCTGGCACTTGTCTTCTATTGTTACAATAGGCAGAGCATACCGCTATAACATGACGCAATAATCAAAAAATTGAGTGACAAATCTTGTTGAAATGATATAGTGAAGAATAGAATGAATTTAAATCAATATTAATTCTCAGTGCTTACATTGCACAGCTAGACTTTCAAAGTATGCCTTCCTGTATTCTGTTATTGTTGAATTAACATCAGCTAGAAGACCATGGAATTTATAAAATGAAGAGATATTATTCTTGAAAATGCCATGGATAAAAGTATTAGGTGTTCAAGAAACGGATGAGGAGGTATATCCTTCTGAGTGAAATAATATTCATCAGTGAAATTCTTGATTGGAAAAATAAACACGACAATTGTTCAATCGATTCTGATGCTGTGAGTATGCATGAGTAGTGCTGTTCATATCATATATGTATTCACTTGTAGTGAGTGGATGTGACGGAGACGAATTCGAGATGGAATTATGGGTAGTTGGAAAATGAATCAAGGTGTTGCACAATTCAGAATAGAATGTCGTAAAGATGTCATAACTATTATAGCGAGTAGGAGTGTGCATGGATGTATA